AACATAAAAATGAACGTTATCCAATGATATTATTTACATTTAATGAAGATTTACTTAATCGAAAACAGTCCAAAATTTATTATAAAAATTTTGTTGATTTATGTTATTTAAATAATCCTATATCTAAAGAATTATATGATACAAGTGAAAATGGTATTACTACACATGTTCAATCTTTTTTTAATGATGATTTAACATTTTATCATTCGTTAATAATATCAAGTGTTTTATTGAAAACGACAGTAGTGAAACATGGTAAATTAGTAGGTGATAGCTGTATCTCATTTCATTTTGCTGATGATCAAACAACATATGGACTTATTAGAGCTATTGTTAAATCAAAACAAGATAGTGTTCGTTTATATATTGAAGAACTGCTTGAAAAAAAGCATGAATCATCGAAATTTAAATTTAAAATAAATGATGAGCAATATCAACTTCCAAATATACTTCGATTGAAACGTTCAAATATCTTTGATCTTAAACATCCGAAATGGATTTTAAAAAAGAATGCCATTGTATGTGAACTTGGTAAGTGTCTTGCAGTTTTAGAATATCCTAACTTGAAAGACAGTAGCTAAATAAATTAAAAAAATTTTTTTTTATTCACATTTGAAAAAATATCTTGTTTATAATTATTGAAAATGTCCAAATATAATACTCTCAATCGCGATCTTGCGAATTACTGTTTCTATTTAACATAGCAACTTCAATCTTTTATTCCTTATTAAGATTTGTCTTTAATCAAAATGCTTTGTTGATAAATTTGTATACGAAATTAGAAGTTTTTTTATTGACTACCGCAGAGTGCACACCATGTCAGAGAGCAGTCATCCTATTCCGCAAAGTTACACATTCCTGCATCGCCTTCTGAATTTCTGCATTCCGCAATTTTTGCACATTAGGAATCTCTAGGAGATGCAGCAATTCCTGGCCATTCCTGCCTATTCCGAAATTACAAATAACTCATGGTTGGCAAAATGATCATTTATCGAGCTTGAATAAACTCAAACCGGAATTCCGGAATTTGTGCACATCCGGAATCACTAGGAAATGCAGGACTTCCTGCTCATTCCGGAATTAAAAATATCTCATGGATGACTACATGATCATTTATCGAGCTTGATTAAACTTAAACCGGAATTCCGGAATTTGTGCACATCCGGAATCACTAGGAAATGCAGGAATTCCTGCTCATTTGTGCTCATTCCTGCCTATTCCGCAATTACAAATATCTCATCGAGGGTGTGGGTGTGGGTGTGCGTGGGTGTGGGGTGGGTGTGGGTGTGGGTGTGGGTGTGTGGCGGAGTGGCGTGTAGGTGTGGGTGCGGGTGTGGGTGCGGGTATGGGTGTGGGTGCGGGTATGGGTGTGGGTGTGTGGCGGAGTGGGGTGTAGGTGTGGGTGCGGGTGTGGGTGCGGGTGTGGGTGCGGGTGTGGGTTAGGTGGAAGAGGATACCCACACCAATACCCACATCACACCCACACCCACCCACACCCACACCACACCCACCCAAACACACACCCACACCCGCTTTGCATTTGTTCAAGCCCGATAAATGATCATTTAGCCATCCATGAGATATTTGTAATTCCAGAGTAGGCATGAATGAGCAGGAATGAGCAGGAATTCCTGCATTTCCTAGTGATTCCGGATATGTACAAATTCCGGAATTCCGGTTTGCATTTATTGAAGCTCGATAAATGATCATGCAGTCATCCATGAGATATTTGTAATTCCGGAATAGGCAGGAATGTGCAGGAATGAGCAGGAATTCCTGCATTTCCTAGTGATTCCGGATGTGCACAAATTCCGGAATTCCGGTTTCCATTTATTCAAGCTCGATAAATGATCATGTAGTCATCCATGATATATTTGTAATTGCGGAATAGGCAGGAATGTGCAGAAATGAGCAGGAATGGGCAGGAATGGGCAGGAATGTGCAGGAATGAGCTGGAATGAGCAGGAATGTGCGGGAATGAGCAGGAATTCCTGCATTTCCTAGTGATTCCGGACGTGCACAAATTCCGGAATTCCGGTTTTCATTTATTCAAGCTCGATAAATGATCATTTTGCCATCCATGAGTTATTTGTAATTTGGGAATAGGCAGGAATGCCTAGGAATTCCTGCATTTCCTAGAGATTCGAGATGTGCACAAATTCTGGGTTGCAGAAATTCAGAAGGCGATGCAGGAATGTGTAACTTTTGGGAATAGGAAGTATTCTCATGTCAGAAAGGCCAAGATTTAGCGTTGATGAACTGTCAGATCGTATGGTTCAATTGGTTAACAAGAGAGGTATGTATCATGAAGTATGTATATTCGAATCTAACCTTCATCTCTACATTTCTATCATTTAGACTAGTCCGAATGTCAAGAGCGGATTCAACAAGACGGATTTAGGACGCTATATGACGGTATAGGTGACTACTGTCTGTAAAAAACAAAGTGGTCGTGGGTATTTTTGCAATAACTCGATAACGGTAACAGCTAGCAATCTGCGGCTTTCGTCAACTGAAAGAGTAGAAGTTGGAATGTCTTTTTCTCTGATAATGTATAAGACGAAATCCTTTTAAAAATAATCATCTTCGAAAAACATGCAAAAGAATGCATGAAAATGACTTTCCATGTGGATGAAATTTTGATTTTAGCCTTTGATTTAGATAGAGGGACTTGAGATCTATAGTTCAAGATACAATTTAAATGGTTCTCCTATTGCAGTCTAACGTTGAGCAAATGGAATCATGTATTTACATGCGCAAATAATAAGGAATTTTGTTGATTTTTTTTTACTAAGTTTTCGCACTTTTCTTATAATAGCGTGGAATTTCGATAAAAATGTAATGAAAAGTAAAAAAGTACATTGCATCTTGAACTATAGATCTCAAGTCCCTCTATCTAAATCAAAGGCTAAAATCAAAATTTCATCCACATGGAAAGTCATTTTCATGCATTCTTTTGCATGTTTTTCGAAGATGATTACTTTTAAAAGGATTTCGTCTTATACGTTATCAGAGAAAAAGACGTTCCAACTTCTACTCTTTCAGTTGGTGAAAGCCGCAGATTGCTAGCTGTTATCGTTATCGAGTTATTGCAAAAATACCCACCACCACTTTGTTTTTTACAGACAGTAAGTTTATAGAAATAATTTCATGCAAAAGAATATTTAAGGTGGCTTTTTTGTATGCTGTTTAATTACTAATTAGGATGCAGGTGCACCCACACATACACTCCACATCCCACCCTCAAGATAGGCACCACACACGCCTACACTCACACCTCAAGATACTATTTTATTTGAACTGATAGAAATGACCCCCTTGACTCATGTGGGCTTTGTAAAACTTGAGTTGTTAGACATTATATTATATCAACATAACTTATTCTGTTCAGCTTTTAATTCTTTATCTTCCGATATATACCATGGAAAATTTCCATGATCTGTTGAAACGCAAGTTAGCACATCTTTTATTGGGTACTTTTTCTTGTTTGTTCCCGAAAAGATATAACAGTGTCAAAAGTCGGTATTGGCTAACTTTGCAAAGAAAAGGTGTTAGAACCTAAAATTTTTTGGTTGGTGCTTTTAAACATTGATGCATTGAATGAGCAAAAATGGTCAATAAAAATTTTTATCGAGTGCCTCACATATTGGACTGATACTCGATCAACTCGTGAACCCTCGCTTAACATAACACGTGATATTTCGGTATCTATCACACAGATACCATCATCAAACGAAAAAACCACCAACATCAACTATACATATACCTATATCAGATCTATTACGAACTAAATCTCACGTGTTATATTAAAACTTTAGCTGTTTTTAATTTTAATTTTTATCTTGTCATATTATACAATTCTCCATTTTTTTTTATTCTTAATACGTCGTAGTTTGCTTGACTCACCACTACTTTAGGAATACCTATCTATTTTCTTCGGAACTTAGTATAGGTTAATTGTTTATATGTGTCTATATAGACTTCTTGTTTGTGATCTATTTTCTTAGATCATTTGAACAGATTCTCTATTTTAAACAATTTAGTCAAAGCTATCTGGTGAGACCCTTAAGCAAGGTCGAAACATATCGTAGTTTACTTGACTCATCCTCAGCAATGATGAAATGCATCGTGTGATACTTTGAATACACTTTATCTTTTCTTTTATATCTTCCTTTTGGGATAATCGAAACGCATCTCGCTAGTTCTTGATTATTTTATTATTACAAAACAATAGCACGCTCGGAGGTGAAATCTCATGAATACTAACCATCAAGAATAATAAGGGTTACTCAATATGTCTAGTCACGACCAATCAAACGGAAGACTGTTAAGTAGACGTATTAAAGGATGCAGCAAGGGCAGTTGATAGTGACATTCCAACCGTCGGCAAGCTGTTGAGCATAATCACGATAAAGACCTGGATTTCTACGAATAGTATCAAGATCAGCTCGCTGTTGACGATCAGCACACTTCGAAAGGAATTTAAAAGCATCATCAAGACTATTAAGACGAGTCAGGTTCTTTTTATCTTCAGCAGAAAGACCTTCAACAAGGCTTTGAACACTTGAAACCACACGCATATCCATATCGTATGCAGCTGTCGATAGTAAACTGAAATTTAAAATGAATCAATGTATTCTGCTCTAGAAAAGAACCAAGTACTGGTATTTATATGCAACATTCTTTTTCAGCAACAGTTTCATCCAGTGGTCATGATGTTTTCCCTACTTCTCGCCAAGTCAGCACTTCATAGCATAAATCTTCGTTTTATTAGTATTGCAGTTTGCATATTAGTGAGTGCGAGTGTAGTTCTACGTCGCTGTGGATATGCGGGAAGAATATGCCATATCCGACTGTTTCTCACTAGCAAAGATCAAAGAAATCAAAAGACGAGTGGGGGTAAAGCCATTTTTCGGTCTAAAATATTTTCATGAGATAACTAAATGAGGATAACTAGGCTCATACAACCTACTAATGCCGCAGCTCATTTTCTTCAAAATCGCTTTCGGGTTATTGACCCCTATATCTCCTAGGGTCTCGAAAAGTTTTTTTTCGAAATTTACTTTTCTAGCACTGTTACAAATAACAAATCAGACGTGCTGATTTCGAATATTGCTGTTATAAAGGATCCTGTCGGATTTGATGACCCATCTCAAACTAGGATACCATGTATATGATCTTGTGGAGCTCGTTGCCGCGCATCGAATGGTATATAAGGTCCAGTAAGTTTTAAAAAATTCGATATCTCAAGAACACAACAATATTTTTTGAACGGATTGCATAGAAATTTATTAAACACCTGTCCCTATAAAAGCGCATATAAAAACTAGCCAACTTAGCACTCTTCGATAAAACAACTTCTCTGTGAGTCGATTGTAGGTTATCTAAGATGGTTCATATAAGTACTAAACGAGGCAGTTGATCAGACGAAAATCAAAAAGCCAATGTTTTGAAAATCGCTATTGATGCTCGACAGCAATAGTATTTAGTTCTAAAGCGAGAGCTGATAAGTCAGTCAAAAGCGATAGAAAGCTTGGCCACAATGTAAAAGTCATATCTAGGACTTGTAAAATCTCTCTATACCGCTTAACACGTCGAAAATATGTTTTGAGTGTGTCAATATGTAGGATAACTATGGTAGTATGTACCCACAAAATTTTGCCATTAAAAACATTATTGTTGAAAAATGGTACAATAAACATTGGTTAGGTAGTGCTTTAGCTAGAGTCATTCTTTACCTTATAGACCTTCTATTGAGCTTTGAATATCTCAACAAGGGAACGGTTTTAGAAGTTAAAATTTCATTTTAGAATGGTGGTTGCTCACTAAGATTTTGCAAATCTTTTACCAGTGAAAGATAAAAGAACCTATAAAAGTTCTAACTAACAACGATTATTTAAAAACAGAGGAAATCAATACGAGAACAAACATTAGATTTTACTGTTCATCTTGAGGAAAATCGAAAGAATGATTTGAGGTATTTACTTGTTAGTACGGATTAAGTGAAGATAAAATTATTGAGGATACGATACCGTATTGTAAGAAGACTGAAGTGTAATGAATGAATTCCAACTAATGGCTGCTAAATATATACGTGCATATGTACACTATATGTGGATATATCCCTGTTATTTTATCAGCATTGCGACACTTCTTGTGTCCTTGACAGGAAAGAAAAAGACAGCATCTTGTAATCACTAATTCACGTTGGAACGATTTTAACCTAACAACATAAATATCAACGTAATAGGAAACCCGTAAGTCAACATGGAAAAAACCCCATCTTCTATATCAAAGAGCATGGGTGGGAATTTTTTTGTGTGTGTGAAAGAAGAAAATACTTTTTTCCCATATCTACTTATCTTCGTAGGCATTTTCGTATTGTTTGGTTGAAATCATTTGGGTGTGGATGTCAGAACTCGTCGAGTGCAAAAATTTTGGACCTGAACCCGGACCCGGTTCCGAATTGTACTCTTGATACTTAATGAAATTTTTTTAATTCGCACCTTATATTCACTCTGGAACACATCGTCAACAGTTTTGAAGCAATCTTGATTATGATCGTATAAGAATCAACTTATAATTCGCTCTTTTTTCAGAGTAGAACCCATGAAGTCCGACCCAGACCCGGTCAACACGAAATTTTTGAACTCGACGGGCTCTAGTGAGTGTGGTTGTGATAACACATAAAACAAACCCACATTCACACTCACACCCGATATTCGAAATACTTTGCGTACCTTTCTTGCACTCTCAGCTGAAATCAAACGTCACATAGTTTCAATAGATTAATGAAAGATGTAATGAGATTTGAATTTATACAGAGTACATCAAGAAAAAAAATGAACATCATACTAATGTAAGAATTTTTCTGATCGCGAAAGAATTAGTGTTGTCATCATCAAATTCATTATAAATTAAAAAAGTTATAATTAAGGTAAATATCGTTATACTTAATATATCAAACCTTCGATTAAATTATAACAACTTTTACAAAAGTCTTACCATGCTTTTTATACACAGTGGAACTTCGATGAAAATTTAAATGTCTCAAAAGGTCATAAAGAAATTGTATAAGTATCTCTTGTGCTCTTTTTCAATTTCAAGGTAGAATTTAATTTGCAACAAGGAAACGAGAGATTTTCGAAAAAAAAATTATAAATCCATTTTATCATCAATAGATATCTCTTCTCTTCATTTTATTTTTGGTGCTGATTTATTTAAAAATCAATTGATATTGATAAATATTTACCATACGAAGCAACCAAAAAAAATAATAATAAGAATTTTACCAAGGAAATGTTGTTTATCGTGAATCGTTGTTATAGTGTGACTCAGTTATAGTATATGGTATTTTCCTTTTCTCTTTCTTCTGTTCTGCTATCGCACGTAGCTGACGCGTACTATACACAGATGTCTTTTCTTACTCTTCTCTCGACATCGTATCGATATTTTTCATCTCATCATGTCTTTTCTTCCAAGTGCCCTTAGGTTTTTTCCTAGTTCATTCATCTATATATAGTTGTCATTTGGAATATAAAGATTTCAATTCAGTATTGATTTGTTAGGTCAATCTTCCTTTAATTATATCACTTTTCATTCCCACAATATGATGAGTCATATTTGCTTTTTTTTTTAATATTCTCTAAAAAACATGGACTGGAAGAACGGAGGAAGAAAGGGAAAAAAAGACCAGCTGTGAGTAATGACAACTACGAGTCCTTGTAAAAATAAATTTATTTTGTGTTCGCGTCGATACTTACACAAGTCTTGTTTGAAACAATTCACACATGTATGTATGATAGTTGAAATCTCACATATTTAACAAATGTTTTAAGATTATCGGAAGCTTTTAGCTTTCTATACATTAACATCGCATATAAAACGTGCCATAGAAGTAGTTACTACAATGTTGGAAATTTGTCTACTGACGTCATCAATGATAAAAGGTTAACGTCTGTTGTGCTTTCAAAACATGCATCAAAATTCGGAATGTACACGTGATTTGTATGTAAAAATAGGCTGTGAAAAATAACGAAAAAAGTCTATTTGATCGAAATATTACGTCTGAAAATTTCCAAAAACTATTTACTAATATGAACGTGCGTTATGATACATGATCTGCAATAACTGAATGAAGGTATGAGTGTTTGTGAAATGAATACCCACATTCACTCTAGTTTTTCATTGAAGAGTTCAACCAATGACAGTGTGTTCTAAGAATTGTCTGTTGTAAAAAAAAAATAATAACAATTCGCAGGAGTTCTTTCATCATTTGAACGTATAATTTTAAATTGGTTTTTATGCATGCAATCAAGTTTTTATTTCAGATTTTTTTACTTAATTTGTTCGATGAATTATCAACAAACCACTAAATCAGGTATTTTAAGATCAAATATTTGAAATATATTTGTTTTTTGTTATTAGAAATTAATGATATGTCAATCAAACGGATGAAAATAGATGATTATACCAATTCGAATCTGAATTATCGATTCACACGATATAAAATCAATTCAGATGTTGTAAATAACCTACAGGACAAAATTCACGAGAAAAATTCAACTCTTCCACTTGATACTATTGTTGATCATAAACACATATCTATTACTAATATATTCACACGGTAAGATGATGAATAGTTTGCTTTCTATTTGATGTTCATGATATTCTATTGAATAGTAATATTGAAACACTGCCAAATGAACTATTTTTTCTTATTTTTTCGTACATGAGTCAGACTGATGTCGTCAGTGCTTTTTTTGGTCTCAATTTGCGTTTCAATTCGATCGTCCTGGAATGTGTTCGTCATATGAAAATTCCAGAAAAAACACACAGTAGTTGGTTTATGAAATATATGACTTTCATTCAAAATGCCATTGAAGTCATCAGTCTCAACATCAGTTTAATACCCTATGTCTTTTCATGTATATATTCATATCAAAATCTTCAACGTATAATTCTCAATCATCGATACAATTTTACTATAAAATTAAATGTTAAAAATCATTCTGTGTTTGATACTGTTGTTTCATGTGTAAATCTTCTTAAAAACTATGGCGCCTGGCCAACGATCGTTTTTACTAATTCAACATTTACAATCGATGAAAACGTAAGTACATGAGGAAAAACGAATTTGTGTCGATAGTTTGAATATAAATGAATTCTAGATATATGCTTTTTCGAACAGACTATCATGTCCAGCTATCGAATATTTGTTAATACGTGATTTAAATGAGAACTCTGCGATGTATTTGTGTAAACATGCACCTAATTTGACGCATCTTCAAATTACACGTCCAACCTCAAAACAGTATAATTTCAATTACAGACAGATTAAGAGTTTTTTTCCTACAATGAAATCAATAACAAATCTGCATATTGAAACGGTTGATCGTGATATGAATTTCAATTCGATCAAACAACTCATCTATTGCTGTCATTCATCTCTTCAAAATATTACCCTCATTGCCTATGATATTTATGGATTTAATGGGCAAACTTTAGAAAAATTATTTCAAACTTGTAAGAAACTTAAGAAATTTGCTTTTCTTATAGAATATTATGATGATAATGAGAATGTCGATATGGCTGAACAAATGCATCAATTTCAAAGTGATTGGTGGCTTGATGATTGTCGACCACCAGTCCTTGTTTATCATGATAATCGTAATTATAGAGTCATTGCTTCGATGCCATGTTCATCTTCATTGCACTCTTTAACTTTGTCTATTAATCCAAACATGTGGCCATTGAATAAAGGACATTTCGATTCAGCATATATTTACTTTAGTCGTGTGACTTCAATCTATTTCATCAACAACAATCAACAACCTATACATCTCGATTTTTTACAATTGATTAGTCAAGTTTTTCGTTCTCGTATCGAATATCTAGAATTTAAATACTGGGGATTCAAGTGTCCGCGTACACTTTATGAACTAGTTAGTAGCTGATTTTGTTCGCACTTTCATATAAATCATTGAATTTTTTTTAATTTTTAGCTAATTAATGCAACAGTAATGACACCATGTTTACCTGGTATAAGATATTTGAAAACGAGTTCGTCGGATTGGAATGGTTTGGATGGAATGACACTAATAATTTGGCTATTATTGGCATCCAATGTTAGAGAATTTTATTTGCCAGGAGCGAATAATGCTGATAAATTACAATTAGGAGAAGAACTCAATGTATTATTTACGATTGATTCACGTTTGAGAACGATTTCAACTCGTATTGAACGAGTCATTATTAATTGGTCTTTTGATCAGAATGATGATCAAACAAAACCGGAAGTTTTCGATCTCTTTGCACAAATTTTTCCAAAAGCTATCATTTGTAATGTGTAAAATTCTTGCATGAAATGATGTGTATAAATAGTTTCACTACAAAACTATATCAGAATCAAATAAATCTAACATTAATATAGAAAAACGTCTCTCAACATAAAATGATGCAATTACTGTTGATAATAACAAGAAGATTATTATAATCTATGTATTTCAGATCGTACTTCTTCACTATTCATTTATTTAATCTTCCAAAAATGTAATAAGAAAATAGTTCATATATTATGACGAGACGTTATTGATATCCAGTCTGTAATTATATATCAATAACATTTCTCATAGTCTGTGGCGGCGTGCAAAGTTCTATCCTATGGTTTAATACTCCTTTTAGATCATATTTTACAAAACCTATAGCTTAATGATTTCAAGACTGAAGTCGCTACTATTTTACACTGATATATTCTTATTGAGAATAATGTTTTCTACTAGAATCATCATTTGAACTACGTTATGCGTTTAAGATTATTAAAAAGAAGAAGCAAATAAACCTTGTTCAACAAATTCTTATTCGATTATACTTTTTATTTTTATTGTAATCAAATGAATAATCATTTTATAGAAGTATGTATAAAACCAAAGAATACAAAAAGGCAACTCTAATGCAAAAACAGAAATTGAGCTTTTAAGAAATAAACAAACAATGATGAGTCATCAATGTTAGTCATGACATATTTCTTTATATAAGAGAACAAAAAAATATAACGTGTTGCACAATTTCAATGCAGAACAACATAATATAATATTAAATGAGAAGGGTAAACGGTCGAGCCGTGTTCTCGGGTTAAACCAACGATATTCTTACCATAAGAGACTAAAGCTTTTGGACATGGAGCTACGGCTGCCTAAGCCCGAGAATAATTCGATACTCGATCTTTTTTTTTTCGTTTAAATTCTTTGGATTTCTATCGACTATCAAGAATCAAAATTTTTTTCATGACAACTCTTTATACAATCATTTCTATTTTATCGTAAATCTCCATGATGATTAGTACAAAATGAAAAATATCTTTTAAAAAATTGAATACTAAATTTATTTTGATAATAAGATGACGAGATATTCTTTTTATGGATGAAAAAGTATTTATATTGAAATGATATATTTAACTATTAGAATGATTATATTTATGTTACTAATTAATACAAAGTGAACTAAAACAACACATTGAGTTTCATTCATGGAAAAAATCAAGGAGGATATTTTTCAATTTGTTTACAGTCTATAAAATTATTTTAATAAAAATCGATTGACAAAAAGAAATAATAATAAAACTTAAAGATATCCATATAATATTGAATGCAAAGATTGATCAATTTATATTAGATACTTAGTTTATCTACCGATGATTTATTCTTTTTTCAGTTTCTATGTATGATAT